ATTTTTATAAAGTCTTCCATTTTCTTTCATACTCATGTGATGACGAATTTTGTTTCTTGAAACTTTTGAATAAAATTAATTCTTCATCAATCTTGAAGTTTTTTGAAAGAATTATATACAAATGTTTGTTGGACAATAATTTTCCATTATGTATTTAGCAAAAAACTTGCTTACATATAAATATCTGAAACTATACTAATCATCATTAACTGAAAAGTTAGATTTTACACAACAACTGACATAAGTTTAATTTGAATGCATTTATTTTGAGCCATGAATATTCATCATTTATAAAGATAGGAATCAGACAAATCAAATGTTTTAAATTTAAGTATAACTTCTTGAAAATGTTTAAAATTAGAAATTTCTACTAAAGAAAAAATCAAAACAAAATTTCAGATTAAAATTTTTTCATGAATGAATTAACTTTGCTTAAAACTTCTTCATTCATTTATTTCGCTCAATTTTTCTTTTGTCTTTTTCTTTCTCTTTCCAACTTGTCAAGAGTTTTAACTTCATATTGAATTTTGTAATTGAATAAATCAACCATTTTCCCATTAGCCTTTGTTTTTATAATGACTACAATAAAAATTTTGGTTTCTGTTACTGCGTATGGCATCAATCTTTCACCAACATCGAAATCTTTGATGAAATAAAATCCTGGTTCGACTGGACATGATTCCGTAATCCGTTTTGAGGTTGAATTATTGTTCTTATAAAGCGAATTCAATATGCTATTTTTTTTCTTTTCTTTGAAATAGTTACACAAGTTCATTCCATTTCTCCTGATAAAAGGAACCATTTTTCCACTAGCATTAGGAAGATCAACCGAATAATGGAAGTACAACGAGTCTATTTTCACAAGCAATGTCAAGTTAATGCTTATATAATTTGTGAAATTTTGAGTAATTCTTAAAGAATGTCTGAAGTCAAGCATATACTCGTTATGAGTTTCTTCCACTTTGTTAACTCTTATTTTAAAGGGATTCTGTGAACAATAAAAAAAGAAATTGTAATTTACAATTAAGATAACACAATTCAAAAATTTAACTGCTTGGTCAGAATATTTGACGAAGATCAAAACTAAAATTGTAACCAGCAAAGTTTTCAATTTCATGGTTGTTACTATGAAAGTCTTCGCAACTATGAATGTCATGAAATGTCATGTCACCATATAAATCAACACGATTTAATTAAAATAATTTTTCAACCGAATAATAATTTTTAAAAGCTTTAATGAATAAAAATTAATCGAAGGAAATGGTTGACGCTTTTAAGGTTTAAAGTTCTAAAACCTTTACATTTGTAGTCGCAGCATTATTACTTCAATTTATA